ATTACTACGGTTACTAATATTTTAGTGCTATACAATGGTAATAATAATCATTACTATTATTATTATTATCACTATCATTATTATTATTGTTATTGTTATTATTATGAAATCCGGATTATTTAAGACAGATTGGGATAGTTGAAAAAATAAAGAAAGAAATGTTTGAAAAAAAAAAAAACACAATATTTGGTTGAAGGCGAGTGTTTCGATCCACCCAATCACATACATTCCGTTTCAGTAGCACAGCAGGGCCTCATTAACGTGACCAAGGATTTGGTATTTGGTGGGCAGGGTTGTTTAGGTCGGAATGCTTGTATATTTTGATGCTTTGTTAAGCCATTCATTTTGCCCTCGTTTTCCCGCACTATCTGAAATGTTTTTTAATGAGCGCTGGGGTTATAGCAAGCTTTGGTTCAAATTTTCTCTACATTATCTTATTTCATAAATTTCCTAATTGCTAAACTATGGTATTGGTAAGAAATGTATACGAATTAATGGACCGAAACATTTCTTACCATTAAAATCATTTCACTAATTTTAAGAATTTTCTAAATCTCATTTCCTGGCTTTCTTTTTGATTGTTTTTGTTTCATCCCCTGTTCTTTCTATTATTTCTTACTTAAGGCAAAAATGCCACAGAACGGTACTTTTGAATATTTACACTTTTTTTGCAGGATTTGATGATCGAGATCGTCGTAGAAATGTGGACGAAGTGCATCAGAGCCAAAGTAACAGCTCACTTGCGTATCTTGATCAGCTGCCCAACAGCGTCAGTGAACCCGGCCCGAGCTCTTCTGCTACTGCTGCTCATCAGCAGCTATATGGTTCGTACGGTTCTTATATATGCATATTTTTTGTTCCAAGCATTCGAGTAATTTACTTTGGAAGGGGATTTTTCGTGGATTTGAAGTTTTATGATAATTGAAATTTTATAATAATTTTAATTATTTCACTAATTTCGTAATTCTCATTACCCGCCTCCCTTTTTGATTTTTTTTATTTCATCTGATGTTAATACACCTTTCTAGTATGATTATTTTAAAGGACCCTCAGTGCCGTACGGTTTTGCAATTAGCAGCGAAGAAGATGATCCAGAAGATCCCGGGGATCCGGAAGGACCTGAAGAAAGCGAATCGCAGTCTGCCGTGCCAAGTGCCTTTTCGATTTGTAATTTTATATAAATTCATAAATTTTAAAGAATCCTGTATAAGAAGTGTCAAAAAATATGCCATTTTTGCCCAGAAAGTTGATTTGGGGTTCCCATGTTATTATTGATGTTACTGGTTTGCTTTCACACACACACACACACACACACACACACACACACACACACACACACACA